GGGGATTTTTAAAATACCTATGCCTGGGCCAAAAGCTCTGATTTGTGAATTGCGTTTGTGTCTTTAAAAAAAAGACATGTCCTGTCAGCGTGTTGATGACATTAAGTTGTGGTTTTGTCTGCCTGACCTTGTAATATGTATACTTACTAATTAAGTGTTGAGTAGGAAGTGGAGTGTGTAGTGAATAGGGGAAAAAAACCCACGTTGTAGTGAAGATAGTGTTGATGTCAGGAGCAGGAGTGAGACAGTGGGTTAGCTTAGAGCACAGATTCATTTGACAGATTCTCTGCTGTACCTCGCCGTTTCTCTCTGAAATGGACCGATGACAGCGGCGTCTCCATATTGATTGTGTGATGTTCACAGGCGCGTCCTTTTGGGTTTTGGCTGGCTCGAGGGATACCATCTTTATTAATATTTGCTTCCGGGTTTTTTTCTTTCAAAGTTCAAGTTAGAGTTTTACGGCACTCGTGACATAATAATAATATAGTAACATAGTAATATAAGTGTCGAAGATTAGACGGGTTACTAGAAAGTAACATACAGAGATAAGATGAAGGAAAGATTATGATCATCTATGTTTGTGATGAAAGTAGGACCAAACCACACCAGAGCACCCTCCAACCACCAGCATTATTTACCCCAAGCCATAAATGATTTTTTTATATAGAGGAAGCAGCATTTTATGGTAAGGTGCCCGCGAAGACATTTATTGAATGAAATATTACACTTTTTTTTACGTGGCGAATTTTCACAAGGGAAGTTCCCAATTTACCAAAGAGCAACGGGTGGTTAGCAGGTGTTCTGGTGTGGTTTGCTCCTTCTTTCCTGTAAAAAAAAATATCGCCTTTATCTTTCCGCCTTTTTTGTGTGTGTTTGTTACTCTCTTGTGACACCTCTAACCGTCAGCACTTTTTTACCTAGTTGCAGCGCAATTGTCGTAAAAAGTTTACAGTCAAACGTGAAAAGTACATGTAGAATATAGTCTTGTCTCTCTTTCACTTGTGCAAGCGTATTGTCAGAGGGCACCACTGGTAGGTCCTACTTCTTTTCTTTCCCTCAAATTCTATTGCTTCCGTCCGTCTGTCTTGCTTGCTTCTTCCCTGCACTAAATGACCGTTATTGTGTCCATGTGCTACTTTTTAGCTAAAAACTCACTCGTGGAGAGAGAACAAGTGTAGGACGGGTACGTCATTGCCTGACGCGTCATGGCGCTGGCCGTCGGCGGCCGTTGCCCCGTGGCGAGAGGGCAGTAGTCAGTCAGTAGCCCAGTCCAGGACTGTTGTAACATTGTGCCAGCCCAATGTTTTTTTGTTTTTTTTATTAACTTCCCAATTTTCGACAGTTAGGAGTTTTGTTACAGCTGACTTAACTGCTTAGAAGTCTTCTCTTTGAGTTCAATTAGTACCGGAAATGCCCGTTGTGTGTTTCGTAGACTTTCAATTTTAGTTTGGACTTGCTCCTGGGTTTGTTTGTTTGTTTGTTTGTTTTTTCTTCTTTTTTGTTTTTGATTTTGTACACTTTTTAAAAAAAATTGTTGCAACTACGTCGGCAGCCGAGTGGTCAGGCTACCGGACTCGCAATCGTGGTGAGATTAGGGGTTCGGGGTTTCGACGTTGTGTCCTTTGGAAAGGCATTTACACGTATTTCCCACTTGGCTCAGTCCTTTCAGAGATGGGCGTTTAACTCGGAGGTCCCGCCTAAAAAATAACCTGAGAGTGTTGATACGGTCGTTAAACCTATGCCATTTCTCCAATTCATCATTTTTTGTTGCGACTTGATCGAAGTGCTTTTACGTTAATGTGAATCACGTAGAACCCCCAAACTGGAAATATTAGATGACAGCACGAAGCTCTCGATTGGTCTAAGCGGCTTGTACGTTATTTGCATAGTTGACCTATAGATTGAATGGCTGTCAGGGGAGGGGGGTGGGTGGGTGAAAAGTGACGGACGTTTTCGTTTTCTGCCATTTCGTTGTTGATGACCCTTATGTGTGCATCGGTCAGTGATATGTCTTATTTTTAGCAGTGTGTTCAACTCATAGAGAACAACAAAGACAGTATTATCGCATTCGATAGTGTACATCGGTACTGCAGAGTCGTGGTGAGCCGCTGAACAAAAGGCTCGTGTACTGATTGTATTCCAGGACGGCTGACTCTTGGATTAAATAGTGTCGCTGGTGGCGTAAACTTCAACATAAATAATTATCCATCACGGATTGTTTTAAGTGTGTGCTGGTCGCACGATTTTATTGTCGTGGTAGTGAGCCGTTGATACCCCACTTAATAGTTGAATATTTATTCGTGGAATCAATCGACTCTGTTTCGGTCATTCAGTGCAAGGGGAAAAAAACCCACACAGACAGAAACAATAGCAGAAAGCAAAGAAATAAGACGTACCAGTGACGCCACACTACTTCCTACATTCGCGGAGTGCGTGGGAGTTCTCGCACTTCATCTGACGACGTGGGCGTGAGCTTTTGTTCCTTCTGGCGGGGGCTGTGTCTCTTTTCACAGTTCTTCAGAATTTGTTGCAGCACGCCCCAAGGTTCTAAATGACCATACAGTGTTGATAGGGACATTAAACTTGTACACCGACAACAACAACTGCAACTGCCTCCAGTCTGCCCTGCTGCTCGCCACAGACATTTTGCTATGGCTGGGCGTGGTCGACGAGCCATCTGGAGACTTCATGTAAAACTGAGATATTGGGGACTCACTGTTTCCTTGGGTAACGTTACCGACTAGGGAACCACTCCCTACTGCGGTTTTTTTAAAGAAACCATTTTCGATCTTGCTCAGGTTTTTTGGGGGGATTGTTTCGATATCCGTGTGTTAGACGACTTTGTTTTTTTATTTGTTGATTCTGAACATGGATGCTACTTGCAGGACTTAAACTTGGAACCCTATCAGACGCTGCTGTTGTGTAGATCGAGTGGAGATAACCCCTTGTTTTTTGTTTGCTAAATATGAAAACTTCTATAGGGGCTTGAACTCGGAACCCTATCGGACACCACTGTTGTGTGGTAAGAGTGGAGACAACTTCTTGCATGTTGTTTATAAATATGGACACTTGTACAGGGATTTGAACTCCGAACCCTGTCGGACACCACTGTTGTGTAGATAGAGTGCAGAGTGCCGCCTAATTCTGACCGGTGTTCTGAGTGGAGTGAAAGGCCCAAACAGCAAGCCCGGTGACGCAACGCTCTCTAACAATGATGAAGGCGGTGCTGAAAAACGAAGACGTTCCGAAGGATGGGTCGTCTGGGCGTGGGGCGGGTGGGTCTGTGTCGGGCAGCGCCCGCGGTGGCTCCGCTCCTGGTAACCTGTTGGGCGTGGTCTCTGCCAGTGACGGCACGGCTCGCGGGGCGGACTTCATCCTTGGAGGAGGAGGTTTCACCTCGCGCCGGCTCGGCCATATGGGTCAAGGTCACGGCGGGCGAGGAGGAGAAAGAGGAGGTCATGGTGGCCAAGGGCATCATGAGCAGAGGCGTCAGGTCAAGGCCACTGTGGGCATGCGTGAGCCAGGCGGGTTCTCCATCCCGACCTGGATTGAAGATCTGTTTGAGAACGCGGAGGATATCGCCCCACGAAGGGTATGGGGCCCCCTCTTTCTGCTTCTGTCTCAGTGTGTTATTTGTTGATGGGTTTGTATCTCTGTCTGTTCAGCCGACCAGGAGTCGATCCGTACATCTCTGTCTGTCTGTCTGTCTGTCTGTCTGTCTGTCTGTCTGTCTGTCTGTCTGTCTGTCTGTCTGTATGTCTGTCTGTCTGTCGGTCTTTCTGACGCACCCACGCACGCGCGCGCGCGCACACACACACACACACGCGCACACACACACACACACACACACACACACACACACTTTCTTTCTTTCTCTCTCTCTCTCTCTCTCTTTCTCCATCTCTCTCTCTCTCTCTCTCTCTCTCTCTCTCTCTCTCTCTCTCTCTCCCTTTCTCTCTTTTCTCTCTTTGCCTGTCCCTGTGTTGTGTTCACGTCATTGTCGTTACTGTGCTTGTCTTTCCATCTTTCTATCGCGGGTAGTTGGAGGGCTCCATTTTTAGGCCATACTTCTTCCACCACCCCCTTGTTATGTTTTATCTGTCTATGTCCCGTTTTCCTTGCATGGAATGGCCGCTATTGTATAAGTGTTCTTCTTTTGTACTCAAACAAACAAAGAAACACACAAACAGACAAACAAACAAACAGACAAACAAACAAACAAAATACCAACCAAGCATCCGATTTCTAGCCAACTGCAAGCTGCAGCTGCCACTCAATCTTAATTCCTCTCATTTTTAGCCTGTCGGATTACCGTCGCAAATCCATGTATTGTTGTACTGACACAGACTGCAGCAATGGCCAGAGGTATGGAGAGGCTTTCGTGGAATCTTTTGTTCTCTTCCTGACTCATTCAGTTCTCACGCAACAGTTGTTGAATAATGCGTCTGTGGTGAACTGGTTAGGCGCGTTACCGCCGCTCGCGAAAGATGTGAGTTCGATTTTCATGTGGGGAAAACCCTTTTCTTTATTGATGTTATTTATTCCCGTTTGTCGTTGGGACGTTGTATCCGTTCTGTCTGGGTTTGCTCTGGCAGACTGGATCTGAGAAGCCGGCCTCCTGAATAATCTAAATAGTGTTCGGTGGGGGCATTAGCCTTCTACAATCACAATTTATTACCACCGATAATCTATTTAAAAGCCACAGATTATTGCGCTTTCCCAGTAGGACCTGGAAGAACTCAATTGAAATGTTCTGCTCGGTAACTCGTCTCTCACCCCTCTCCCAACAGTTGTTGATAAACATGTCCGGGCTCCGTCCCTCCCCGTGGACAGCGCGGATGACGTGTATTGCCAACAAAAAAAATAAATTCCAACAACATTATTAAACCGAACAAAAACTGCACCACCACCAACAACAACAAAAAATAAAAAGCAATGCTAAAACAAAACAAATCTCCGTGGCTCTTTATGTCTTGGTTGCACATGTTCAATGTAGACTTCTTGTTTCTCCTCCAGCCTCCCTGGTTTTTCTGTCCCTGCCTCTGTCTGTCTGTCTGTCTGTCTGTCTGTCTGTCTGTCTGTCTGTCTGTCTGTCTCTGGCTCCCTCTCTCCCTCCCTCCCCCCCCCTCTCTCTCCCTCCCTCTGTAGGGGACATCGCACGCTGGTGGCCCTAGTTCGATTCCCGAGTAGGGAGAATTTTATTGAGTGTTTCAGTCTTTCTGCAGGGATATTGTATCCCTCTCCTCACGAGTTGGCCCTGACAGGGCTCACCTGGGGGCGGTCTGGTACGTGGTATTTTTGTGGTGGGCGATGGGATCACCCGGTCAGTGACAGAGGTATCAATGTCCCACTTGTATGTACAATGTACTTGATGGTGAGCGGTGGGAAAATTTGAGCCTCTCACAGGTAGCTAAAGTGGGTGTTGGCAATAAAAACGCTAAGAACTTCTTTAACCTAATCCAATTTTTTTTGCCCGCCATTTGGCACATGGTGTGCTTCTCAATGTAAACACCGTCATACCCCCCCCCAAAAAAAAAATAAAATAAATAAAAATAAAATAAATATATAAAAAATAAAATTTAAATTTAAAAATGAAGAATTTTTAAAAGTTAAAACAAATAATTAATAAATAGGTCAATAAATAAATAAATAAATGAATAAGGGGAAAACTGCATACCCCGCCTCTAATCCAACCACTAACACATTGTAAACTCCTTGAATCCAACACAACTCATTCCTTTCACTGGTAGTTCCCCTTTCTTCCCCCCCCCCCCCCCCCCGCCTCTTATATTTTCGTTTTCTTCCCCAGCGCCAAACGCACTGTTATTGGACCGATAGCTGCTTCTCGTCACTCTAACGACCAACAACATCACCTCACCCCCCCCCCCCCCTCCCCCACTCTTCTAGAGCCATGCTCCAAAATTAACAACTTGTATATTTTTCTTTTCCTCAGACGACCATGCTCCATAATTAACAACTTGTATATTTTTTCTGTTCCTCAGACGAGCCTCCGACCGTTCGTGGAACATCAGCAGACGACACATCCGTACCAAGGTGAGTTGTCGTGTGGCTAGGCTCTTGGTCTCTGCTGGCCCTTTATTATTTAAAAAAAGTTTTAGTTAAGAGTTTTAATGCACTTGCAACACAATAAGGTCATATAAGTGCGGAAGATTAGAGGTGTTACAATAGAGTAGCAAACTTAAAAAAGAAGGAAGAAGAGGATCAGGAGCAAAGATGTTTGATAGGAAAGAAGGAGCAAACCACCACACCTGAGCACCCGCCCACTACCCACTCCGTTTACTTTACACATCTGGGGTAGACATGGAAGGGTCAGACAGATAGGCTGAGAGAGAGAGAGAGAGAGAGAGAGAGAGAGAGAGAGAGAGAGAGAGAGAGAGAAGAGGGGGGGGGGAGGAGGGGACTTGGGGAAAAGAAAGACGCAGAGATTCTGTGTGGTTGTGTGTGTGAAAGAGAGAAAGGGAGAGAGTGTGTGTGTATGTGTGTGGTTGTGTGTGTGTGTGTGAGAGAGAGAGAGAGACAAAGAGAGACAGAGAGAGACAGAGAGAGAGACAGAGAGAGGGGAAGTTTGAGACCGTCTCCTGCCGTCTCCTTTGAATTCCCGTCTCTTAATCTGTTTGTGACTATTCACACATCAGGCCAGGCATGCTTTCATACGTTGGTGTCCCTTCTTTCTTCCATCAGGATGGCCGCCACATTGTCTGTTCACCATTACCTTAACTTCACATTTAACCGCCCCGTATTCATGATATCCTTTTTGGTATCCTCTGATCCATGTATACCGAGTGGGTACTTGCGGAGCGCCGCTTGTAAATATCTGACGATGACTAAAACATCCGCAGAGGAGAATAATAATTCTCAAGCGAAATGGATAATTGAGAAGAATTAAAGGTGACTTGTGGCTTCTGCTACGTCGCTTGCAGGTCCTACTTTTTTGCTTTCTGTCTGTTGTTTCTGTAGACCTGACTTCCTCTTTCCCAGTACTAAAGTTAATACTTTTTTTTTATTATTCAGACTTCATTTTTGTGTCCACCCATCCTTATAATTTATGTACCACTCTATTAAAAAGTATAGCTTAAAAGGAAGAAGTGGTGACTGAAAGGAAGGAGAAGGGCGGTCGATGGGGAAGGAAGACTGGAAATTATGAGGTCATAAATACACATACGTACTTATGTTATTATCCTCTAACGGATACCTGTATAAAATAGCCACTTGAACAGACGCCCACTTCACGCTTCCCTGAGGACGTACAGAATAGAATGCTGTCCTTATATATTCTGAAATCAAGCATTCTTACGACATTGTCAGCCCAGCGAAGTTGAATCCTTTTGTGCTTTAAGAACAGACTTAACATTTGCTCGTTTGAGAACTTCGGTATGTGCTATTTTGTCCTGCCATAATAATTTGATTCCAAGAATTCTTCTCAGGCCCTTGATGTGGGAATGATTAATTTTCTTGATAGATTGCATAGAGATATGCGGGTGGTTGGAAGGCACTTCTGGTACGTCCTACTTCTTCACTTCCCCTCTGATTTTTCTATCTATCCATTCTCCCTTATTCCCCTTTGAATGACCATCATTACTGTATCGATGTGCTTCTCTATACTCAAACAAAGTAGTTAAATACACATATATTACATACTTAGATAGATGCATACATAGAAACAGATATTAATATAT